TAAACCCAATGTACAAGGTACCAGTGAGCTCTCTCCTACTGCACCGTGGGCAGCTCCAGCTACAGATGTTAAGATGAACCCAGGGTGTAACTGGTGCTGACTAAGGGGTGATGGAAGACCTGGAAAGTCTATTTTGCTATAGGAAACTAAAAGGACATGGCACAGCTAGCACAGCAAAACAAAGACTCAGAGAATGTAAGACTGTCCACAAAACAAGGACCTTACCAGAGAGAATAAAACACACAGCCCTCACTCACCTCTGCTAATCCTTCCCTGATACACCTCGGTCAAGAAGAAAGTCTTGCAGCCCACTTGAAGGTGAGCTCCTCCTGGCTCTGTTGGATGAGAGAGCTCCTTCCCCACCACAATTACCCTGTTTCAACCATCAGCAACCAGAACCCATACCTGCCCCACTGCAACCCTTCCTGCAGCTGATGGAGCCACCAGTGCAGTCCGCAGTTTGGTAATCAGTGGCACAAATGTAATTTACCTACTAAACTCAGTCTTAATCCTGGAATGATATTTTCACTAGCAACCTCACCAGAGAGACCAAATCAACCTGGACATGACGAGAGGTGTTGGCTTAGGGCGAGGACTAGAGATATTGGCTGCTGCTGCTCCCCAGGCAAAGGGAGACATCCTTCCCAGGGAGCTATCGCTCTGACACCTTGTGTGAGCACTCAAATTAAACATCAAATGCAGTCTTAAATAAATACAGATTAAAGGAAAGGGCTTCTTTGACAGCAGAGTCATTTGGTCTCTCCCCTTGATGATGTCATGCAAATAGGTTTACCTCTGAATGTCTGCTGCATAGTGTTTATCTTCAAAAGTCAGTTCAAACACACTGTTACATTAGACCATTTGGAAGTCCAAAGACTTCTCAGGAATTGTGGTTTGTGATTAGTTTACATCTAACTTGTATTTTATACATACTGTTCTCCAAGACATCATGTTCCACATATTGCCCATCCACACCCTCAGGCCTGCAGCAGAAGAAATGTACAGCTGATACCTTAACATGTATTTCATTTATATCCCACAATTCTCCCTGGCTCTGAGAAACAAAGTTCTGCTCATCCACAGCGCCAGGCTCTCAGGAAGCATTTCACTTTGCCCTGAAGTGTGTGAGGGACCTCAACAGGAACGGGTGGCTGAGCTGCAGGAGCTGAATGCCATTTCTGCTCTGTAGAAACACAGTAAAACATCATCTATAATAAAGGCCTCAAGTGGAAAAGTTGGTCCTATTTAAATCGGTGTGAAATACAGGAAACTGTCTCTCAAGCTTAAATTGCCATCTGGCAATAGGCACACATCTGGTTAAGAAATTATTTTTCTTGAAAAATCCAATGATTTGTAGTGGGATGCTGTCTTCGTAAATGTACTTTTATTATTGTGGAGTTTTTTTCCAAAAATGCAATAGAAGAGCGAATGGTAAGCATGTATGAATGCTGCTTCTCATTTCCTTTTGTGTCCCTAATCAGGAAATGTTGAAAATCAGTGTTGTATTGCTGGAGATTAATGGCTGCTGCTCATAAAGTGTACAGGGAATATATCCCTGCCAGGATCAATACACAGGCCCTTGGACAAAAATCTATGAACCACAGATAGAATTATATCATCATTGTAAAGATCCACACTGCCTGTGTTGCTCTGTAATTAATAATATTCACATGTTGGTTTGATTGAAATCACTGTAACAACCAAGCAAATTAATGCCATGCCTTCATGGTCCAATTTATTCTACTGGCGCTTGAAATTTTTTCAAATCAGTTTCGCAGTATTTAAAACTTAGAAATGTTTTTCCAGGTATAGAAAGAAATCCTTTATGGATTTTTTGCCCCTATATATTCAATACGTGTTTAAAGGCCATGTAATCACTGTTTTCTTATATGAACTGTGAGATCTCACAAGAGAAAAGACACTCCACTGAGCTAGAACACCTTCAACATCAATCCCTGTCATCAGTTCATTTGTTTCCCACTCTCCTTCAGAGAGGTTGTACTTAAGAGCTCTCCTGCCATGTATATGGGGATACATTTTCATCGCCACAGCTTCTGTACGCTTTTTCTCCCCTTTTGTTTTCTTACAAAATAAGGCCTAGGCTATGGTCACCTCAGCCGTTTATGAAAACCTTTCCTTCTCTATATTCAGTAAGTGCACAAGGCTCAGCCAGGAAACCTGACGATAGGCAGAGCCAAGTCCAACTTGGCCCTAGAAGCTAAAGCACAGGCAAGCTACCTGAGGTCATTATAATAAAAAAAAATAATAAAATGAAGACATGAACATTACTGCTAGGGCATGTCTCCATGGTTTACTGGCACGTTCTCCTTCAAAATGAAGAGCTGGGAGGTCAAGTCCCAAAGCAAGGACTCAGAATTGATACCTACAGTAATGAGGTCTATGTTTGATATGTTGTTAGATGATGTGAACAGTGAACTAAGCACGTGAAGCTTATGTATTCATCACCAGTTTACCCTGCCAACCCCATGGTTGTCATTACCAACTTACTTCCCATGGCTGAGCTTGCTGTTTGGGGTTTACAAGGCAGTGTCACCCTGCTCTGCTTTTGGTAGTGCTCATGGATGCTGAGTAAATAGTCACGGTATTTTATCCCATGTTGTTGTTCAAAAAATATTGGATCTCCCTACAGGTACAGCCTGCTGTTATTCTCCAAACAAAATCTTCTTACATATGCCTATATAATGTTTGCTTTGCCAGTGTTGAAATGGCTTCAAAATAAACCCACAGTCTGATTTGTCAGTCCAACAAAACGCCAGCCAGCCACCAGAGATGTCCAAATAGATCTGAAAATGAAAAGCCACAAAATGACTCAGTGCATTAGGTCACTGTGACAGCCAGGAGGTAACACCAGAGTATTTACGTTGGCTGGAGTCTTCCTTGGTTCATCTTTCTTTGCAGCATCAAAGCCAGGCTCTCATCTCAAGCCAAAGTGCTGTAGCTTGCCCACTTCAGTAACGGCTCAACACAGGTACCGGGTAAATAACTAACTAAAACGGGGTTTTTTGAGATGAAATTAAGATCTCCTGTGGATTGAAAAAAATAGTGATTCTCTTCCCTGCCTAGCAGTAAGGAGCAAAAGAACAGATGCATTCGACGGTTACCAGTATGATTGTCCTCACAATCCTCCTGTGATGTCAGGAAGCTTTAGCAGTGCCTAACATCTCCGTGGGGGCTGTATGTATGAACATCCCTAAAAATATTATCTGGGACAATGGGAGTATCATCTTGGTGAGGATTTTCAGCTCATGTTACAGTGCAGATGGCAGCTATCCCCACCATCCTCATAGGGATAATGAGAACATGGGCAGTCTTTTAAATGTTGTGTAACTCCCCCACAAAGTAAAAGACTATGGTGAAGAGCCACATTTCCGTGTATTGAACACAAGAATTACTCAGAGATAAGAATAAAGACCACATTTATTGCCACCCAGAAAACATTAGTGACTTTCTTTACTTCTTCTTTCCAAGTCACCAAGGTGACTTCAGAGTAAATCTTTCTGAACAATGTGGGCTTGATATATTTCTAATGAGGTTTGGCTCTGTTCACCGCTGAAGCTGAATGTTAACTCCATCTTTTAGGAAATGACATATACAAGTTTTTGTATAAAGCAAAATGAAATACTATAAAAACAGATACTCTTCTGTAATTGCAAAAGTTTTTTCCTTTGCAAAATTGCATTCAACAGATTTTCTTGGGGTTTTTTTTCCACAGTTTTTCGCTGCAAGATGACCATTTTCTGTCTTTGTGACAAAATTATTTAGTTCGAATGCATATTTCCTGAAACTTGTAAGTACTTTCTGACAAACTGAGGGTGAATTATGTACAGTAAGAGTGGTACTTAATGCTACTTAATGAGATGAAATCTCATAGTTGTGGTAATGGTGCAACTCAGGTGACTCATATACCAAAGAAATTAACAAAACAATTGCTTCTTGTAATCAGATAAGATGATAACAAATCCAAAATCAAAATAAAAATGTTATGAATGTGGTTTTCAGGGAAAAATAAAGCCTTACATGAATTGCTAAATAATGGTGGTTACCTAGAATAAAAGGATTGAGACAAAATATTTTCACACAGGTCAAGCATTTTTTTTTTCTGCTTGTCCATAGGTTCAGTGAAACAAAAGAATTTATAAATTTGGCAAGCAATCCTATCACAAAAGGGGGATAAATTTTGAAAAGTCAAAATCTTCATATTAACTTTTTGAAATACCATGTTTCAGCTCTTTATTTTGAAATTCGCTAAGGCTGACTCTCCTGAGAATTCAGTGATTTACTAGCGTTAAAGAGAATCCTCAAAACTGGATGGACGTTTGGAGGATGAGTTAAGCACAAAACCAGGCTGTCTGCCATCAAGGACTCACTACTGAGCTGAATAAACATGCAAACCAGGACAATCAAGAAAACTTTTAAATGAGCACTACTCCAAGAAATAAAACTAATGGATCTTTGCAAGGCAGGGAATGTGCAGAGCACTGGAAGTGAGTGGGAGAGGCTGAGCTTTGGCTGAGCCCTTCCCAACATCTGAATATGCAGAAGGTCCATCTTAAGTCCTTTTTCAGTACTACTGACTTGCAGATTTGTCTTTTGAATATTTGCATTAAAGATTGTAATTGCGCTTACTATGTTTGCATGTCTTCCTCCCCCCCCCCTCCCCCCCTTCCCCATCCTGGACTGATTCCCCTGTGGTTGTTTCTGCCTCTTTTTAAGTGTTCAAGACCTGCAGATCCCCCTTTCTTCATCGATTCTGGCAGGTGTTTATAATTTCTTTTGCTTTGGTAGCTGAAGACAGAGATAGTAAATAAAACAGTACTTAAAACTATGACTATTCTGTTCAACACCACCTACCACTGCTCTCTCCTTATGGTCCTTTGCTTTAAATTTGTATGTCCCTGTCAGTCGAGCCCTGTGCTTTTTGGATAACCTAAAAATAAATAGGTACATAGAAAATATAGTTTAAAAGATGTTTAATTTACCTGCAGTTCTCCTTCCATTATACTGAGGAGTTTTATCAAGTCCTCTTTAGAAAGCTCTATGGACTTCTTGTTCTTTCGTTCAGTAGGTCCAGGTGATTTTGAGTGCCGTTTGACAGTTGCTGAAACCATGACCTCATCTTCCTTCCGATGAGGTTTGTTCTTTTTCTTGGCATCCTCCTGAAGTTTTTCATTCTCTGCATGGCTGATGACAGGCTTGGAACTGGAGAAGTGCCCGTTAGACGAGCTTTCTCCACCTTGGTTTCGGGACCTCATCCCTACCTAGAAAGAAACAAACATGAACATGCATTTATGTTTGAAATTACTTACAAAAAGCCACAGTGGAAATACTGCCTTTTGGAAGAACAGCAGTCTTCTAAAAACTGAAAAATACTGTCATGCTCAAGAGACGGTGGTAAAAAGCTCCACCATTTCAACAACTCTGTGTGGCAGACAGTGAATCCAGGCCATTGATTATAAATTTAACAGAGTCCTAAAGTAAAGGTAACCATGTTTTTTTCAGCATTCCAAGATGCTGATATGAGTTAAACTGCACAGAACCTAAAAGTGTTGCAGGAAAATTATAAAAAACATTTTCCAGTGTTCCCTTTCCTTCAGTCAACATTTTGATCATCCACAATTCATCACTACAAACCAAAGCAGGTTGTTAAGTAGATCTTATTTTAACATGAGGTTTACTTTAGAGACAGGAATGCAACTATATTTTAGAAAAGCATATTCCTTGATTATAAATTCTCTACAAGAATGCAGTGAAAATGCCTGACAAAAAAAAAGTGCATCTATAGTTTCCCTGAGGGAAGCAATGTTTTTATTCTAGATAGTCAAGAAAAATGGGGAATGCAGACTAAAACAAGTGGTATACTCCATCTAAAGCTAAAAACCACATGAGACTATTAGACACTAAGTGCCATGAACGAAAATTGAAAAGAACTTTGAAAAAGGGCACAGAGGGCATGAAACCATTAAGAGGTAAACGAGCAAGATCAGTGCAGTCCTTCCAGAAGATTCAGAGTTTCTCCAAAATATGAGGTCATGGTTATTGAATAGCAGCCTTCCAGTACTTAAAGGGGGCCTACAGGAAAGCTGGAGAGGGACTTTTACATGGGCATGTAGTGACAGGACAAGGGGCAATGGATTTAAACTGAAAGAGGGGAGATTTAGATTAGATATAAGGAAGAAATTTTTGACTCAGAGGGTGGTAAGGCACTGGAGCAGGATGCCCAGAGAAGTTTTAGATGTCCCATCCCTGGAAGTGTTCAAGGCCAGGTTGGATGAGGCTTTGGGCAACCTGGTGTAGTGGAGGGTTTCCCCGCCCATGGCAGGGGGGTTGGAACTAGATGATCTTTGAGGTCTTTTCCAACTCTAACCATTCTATGATTCTATGATTCTATGAATGCTCACCTCTCTGTCCTCTTAAGTATCTACACTGCACTCTTAAACTATGCCTATCCTAGAAAACTAAGTAGTGATAGCAAATGTTTCTGAGCTTTAGCACTTGACCTACTGCATTGCTAAATTTTTTAGCACGCTCCTTGGCACACTTCTGGTCCAGGCAAACTACCGCTTTCCCAATCAGTTCCTGGGCACAATTCAGCAATTAACAACCCAAACCAGGTCCACATGCAGCCACTCTGTTCTGGAACAGAGAGAGTTTAGTAGTATGAGCATGGCTGGATTATGCTATTTGACCCAGGGACAGAATGAGGACCCTGGGGCTGTTCAGTTTACAAGTAACATAGCCTTGGTGACACACAAAATATAGCTGTGAAAATCATCCTTCCTCTGTATCAGCCTCACCAAACTGCAGTCTTCTCTGACTCACTCTGCTGAACGCCATTCAGCAATATCAAATTAAACCACTTACATTTATCTTCAAATCTTTTCATAATTCTTCTCTTTCTTACCCATCAGCCCTTTTCAAGTTGTCATCCACACAATGCATTCAACTAAATTCAGCTTAATCTGCCTGTCTGTTGCTTTCTCCTCTGAACATCTCTCTCCTTTCTTCTTCCTTGATCCTATAAATTGGCCAGGGAGGTTGCTAGCCCTTAAAGTCTCATTTATGCTATAAGGTCTCATCCTATGTCACCGATTAACAATGGCACAGAAGACAGGACGGGTTCATCAGTGTGTATTTCATTACTTACCATTATCAAACAGATGTGCATAGGATACTCAGACATGTGTATATATGGACCTGTATAGCTATCCTGTCCCCCGGTATCCTGTCACCTTGCTATGTTATGTTGAAGTAGGTCTTTGTACTTACTTTCTGTGTTTAACTGTAGAAGACCTTGATTGTTATTTGTAATCAAGATATTTGTAATACACACTACAAAGGCAATAGTGAATTTAGGCTTGGTTCAGGGCCAAACTCAGATCTAAAAAGTAAGCTGGTCTCCTAAAAATTAGATATTCTTCATCCTACTTGAAATTGCTGTGTAACAGACAAGGGAAACCATCAGGAGTTTATGTTGTCTTGCTCCATTTTACTTTTGTATATGGTCATATTTTCTGCTACCTTATTTTTTTACTTAAATCCATTTTACCCAAGACAGTCTAAGAATACTAGAAAGCAAGATCTGCACAGAGAAATATCTTGGTTTAGACCAACTACAATTTGAACAAACAGACTGAAGAAAGCTGAAGAAGGATCTATGTGTCTGAAACTTGCCCAGTTTTTGTATCAATAGATCTAATGAATAATACTCCATTGCCTCCAAATCTTTCCTCTCCCTTAAATTCATCTCTGGATTTAGTTTGCAGCTTGTTCATTAGTCAGACAGATGCTTCTCAACATTGCTAACATCACACACTTTTCTGATAAGGATCTCAGAGCAGCAATTCACTAGCGATGGGGCAAAACCTAAAATACATTGACTAATCAGCTTGGCTACTGTTACACTGAGTCCGCTATGGCTTGCTACTTACTTGACTCAGGCCAGTGTTATAAATCTTGCTCACATTAGCCTTGCATTTTGGTAGTTTCCCACTCAGCAGGAAGATTGTATTTTTATTATCATTGGTTACTCACGTCTTAACTTCATTAATGCAGTGGAATTTGTCCAGCAGCGTAAATGGGGAGAGAATTAGACCCAATGTTTTCGAGTGAGAGAGTTTCACGACAAGATTCCTTGCATTGTAGGTCTGCTCCTATCCAAACAATATGTGATACAGGTATACAATGGCCTTTAACTTCCTGAATGCTTGTGCAGTGTGTTTTTCATCAAACAATTTGGATTACATGAATTACGCTTTCTAAAAACAGATCTCCATTATAAGTATGAACAATACCTGAGGACCTCAGGAAATCTTTTGCGTCTCAGGTTTGTAATGGAAAAATAAACATTGTACTATGTTTCCTCTCAGATAGGGCTTTTCAATTTGTTTAACTCTAATGGGTTTTAAACTTTCCAACCGTGCTTCCTCTCAGGAGAGAGCACTTGGGATTCAATCTGTCTCTATTTTCTAAGTGTTTCCTTCTCAGTCCCTGTGGGTCACAGCCTCCAGCCACTTTCATCTCTAAACCAGCCTATTTTTTATGGTTTACAGTGAATGGCTTTATGACTTTAGAACATCCTACATGTTTTAAGAATAAACATTGCAAGTCTGTCTTACATATGTTTTCCAGTGGAAAACAAATTATTACATTACAGTGTATTCTGCCTAGTTACATGCTACGTTAGTGATTTCTCCGTAGTAAGATGGTCAACTGTTAGACCTGAAGGTACACAATTAATTTTAAATTTAACTCATGACTAGTTGAGACACATCATCCACCTCAAGCATTGCATAATCAACCAGATGCACTTAGCTGGATATGTTAGATTTCACTAGAAGTGATGCATCACCCTGTCACATCATAACTCAAGATAGCCACTTTGATCCATCTGTCCCTGTGGGAGCTGAGATAACAATTCATGAAGCCATGTAAAGACTGAGTAGTTGACTATGTGTTTATAAGCATGCTAACAGAGAAATAAGGAATGAATATTTAAAGTGTGCTTTTACTTGGTGTAAATCAATATAGGTACACAAAGAACAGATGCTGCAAATATTTTTTTAAAAATATTAATTAATACAGCAGCAGAGCTGGAATTTTTTATCAACTAGCTAATTAGAATATGATTGTTACTAAAGGAAGTAAAACTTGGCCTTTTAAAAAATTTCTTTAGCACGTGTAGATTTATTTTGCAGCAAGTCTTACATTACAGCAAGAGTGGCAGTCTGTCGCTCTCGGGGACATTGCCCGTAATAGTATTTCTTTGTGTAAAAGCCTGCCAAAATCAGTGTAAAACTAACACCTACTCTGTCTTCAGTTACAATTTTGATACTTTTACAACACGTTACCCAAATGCAAAAGTGTCATATGCTAAAGCCAGAGATGCAGGTGAATTCAAGCTTAAATGGCAACAGAAAGGGCCAAAGTTTTGATATTCACACAGTAATTTCCAAGGAGTTTAAGGGCCAAAATCAACGGCATGATCCAGCTGTTGTGCAGTGCTCTAGGAATACAAAGCAGCTGTAAGGATGACTGATTTTTAATCAGAGCAATGTCAAGTAGCCAGAACATACCAGTGATCTTGGCTGAAATACTGTGTGCTAGAGACGAGCGCTTAGTACTATCATTTTGGACATCCATCTCTATTTCTGATGGCATCATGACAAAGAAGAAAAGTTTATGATCAGTTGCATGACATTATTTTGGTATGCAAATACCAAAATCCCAAAACTGCCTATCTGTTGTTTCATCGAGGTTCCAAAATGGATTCTAAGGACACTGCCAGTCTAACACTGGTAACAAATGTCCTCCTGTTGT